TTTCTTTGTGTGTGTGTGTGTGCGTGTGTGTGTGTGTATGTGTGTGCATTTAACTTTATTTTTTTATTAGTTCTATGATTTCTGACTAACTACTCCATAGAAGTGGAATTATCCAATTGTTTTTTTTGATTGGCTTGTTTCATTTAGCATACTGTCCTCAAGATCCATCTCCACTGAACCGTGTCAGTTTCCTTCCTTTTAACGGCTGAATAGTATCCCATTGTAAGTGGAAACTCTGTAGCACACTTTACTTATTTATTTACCTGTCGATGTGTGAGTCTTTGTTATGTTTTGGATCTTTAACATCCCTCAAAGTTCCACATGTTCAAGGTTTGCTTTCCAGTCTCCAGTGTTACTGGGAGGCAGGTGAATCTGAAGGAAGTGAGGCTGAAGGAAGTGAGGTCGTTGGGAAGCAGGCCTTGGGGGGACCGTGGCATCCCAGCCCCTCCTTCTCCCTCTCTTTGCTTCCCAGCAGCCAAGAGCTGAACCATCTCCCCCACGGAGCACTCCCGCCATGATGATCTACCTGGCCACACACCCAAAAGCAATAGGGCCAAGTGGCCATGGACTGAAACCTCTAAAACCATGAGTCAAAATAAATCTTTTTTCCTTTTAAGTTGTTCTCGGTTTGTTTTGCCACAGTGATGGAAACCTGACTAAAACTAAATTGTGATGGAAAGCTAACAAAGTCTTTTTATAGAAATCCCGCAGTACCTCATGATCATTAACATATTTCCCTATATTCTTTTTTTTTCTTGTTTTGTTTTTATTGTTGTCACCTATATTTTCTTCTGGAGGCTTCAGATTCTTTATTTGCCTTTTTATACTTAAGTAAAATCACCTCTTGTAGAATTGATTTTCATGTATGTTATGAAGTAGGATAGTCCAGTTATTTTCCATATGGACAACCAGTTGTCACGTGGCATTTATTGCAAACAAACAAATGCATGCTTCTTCTTTTTAAATCTCTTCTATGTGTTAATTTTCCTTTTTATTCTTTGTATTTTTGTAACAACTTTAGAAGTTTATCTGTTTTATTAGTTAGTCAAAGAACCAGTTTTCAACCTTCTGATTCTGTTTTGCTTTTTATTTTTTAATTTAATTTTTTTGGTACCAGAGATCGAACTCAGGTCCTTGCACTTGAGAGGCAGGTGTGGTGCCACTGAGCCAAATCCCCAGCCCTCTATGTATATTTCATCATTGATTTCGTTATAGGTCCATACTACCATATTACACTGACTTATGTGTAATAAGCGCAATTTTATTTGCTATGGAGGAGGGGTCATCTGTCTGGTATTTCTTTAGAATTGTCCTAGACCTTTGATCTAATACGTACATTATTCTTTTAAAAAAATATGTACATTAAAAAATTTTTTGAGACAGGGTCTTGCTATGAAGTCCAGGCTGGCCTTGAACTTGCAGCAATCCTCCTGCCTCAGCCTCCTGAGGGCTGGGATTACAGGTGTGCGCCACCACACCTGGCTAAAATTCTTTTCTTCCTTTTAGTAGTAAAACCTTATCGGTACATTTTAGGCACGCATAGTGATAACACTCGTTATAGGGAATTTGCGCCTGTACGTGATGCACCCCACCTCTCTTTTCCCATTCCCCCTTCCCTTAAGCCCCGTCTCTTCCCCATGTACAAAGAAAGCTTTGCTTCCACTTTTCCCTTCTATTTTCACTTTTTTTTTTCTTGTCCCTTCCTTCCCTTCCTCCTCCCTCCTCCCTTGCTCCCCTTCCCATTTGAACATTTTATTCCCAAAAAATAAATTCTTAGACTCCATGAAAAGCTTTTCTGGTCTATCCAGGAGCGCTGGTACAAGCCTGCAATTCCAGAACTTGGGAGGCTGACACACAAGTATTGCAAGCTCAAGGCCTGCCTGGGCTATATAGCAAGAACTTGTCTCAGACAAGCAAACAAGCAAGAAAAGCTTTTGGGTTCAGATTAAAGTTTTAGATTTAGTTTGGGGCTCAGGAGGCTGAGGCAGGAGGATCATCACAACTTCTAGGCCAGCTTGGGCTACATAGTGAGTTCAAGGCCAGCCTGAGCTACATAGTGAGATCCTGTCTCAAAATACCCCACACCAAAAAAATACTGAGCTTGTTAGCCCTCTGGACCTGATAAAATCTTGTGTTGGTTCTCTGTAAGGAAAGGGAATATACTTAATGAATTGAGTCATCTTTATTTAGTTTGACCTTGCTGTTCAGCAGGGTCTCCTACTTACGACCCTGACACTGTGCGCTCAGCCCTGGTCTGCCAGCTCCAATTTCAGGTACAGCGCAGCCCATGAAGCTGTCCCACCTGCATGTGGCAGTGGGCTGCTGCTTCCCTCAGGCTGTTCTCCAAGCTGACTCACAGATTTCTCATGGAACCCAGCTCAACTCTGTGCCCATCTTCTTTGCAACTCCAACTTCAGAAGACTTTGAGCTGATGGCCTTGGTGCTCTCCTCAATCTTCTGGGTCCAGTACTTGTCCAGCTCCCTTAGGGTTTGTTTGTTTGGTTGGTTTTTGTTTTTTTCAGACAGGGTCTCACTGTGTAGTTGAGACTGACCTGGAACTCACTATGTAGCCCAGGCTGGTCTCAAACTCACAGTGATCCTCCTGCCTCAGCCTCCCGAGTGCTGGGATTACAGGCGTGCACCACGACGCACGGCTTCCCTTAGGTTCTTCCAAGCCAGCTCATCATAGGGATCACAGATGTCCATCATGACCTTGCTGAGGTCCTGACATTTGTGGGCATCTACGGTCAGGGTCAACCAGAGCTGGCCATCTGGGCTGGGAGGACTTTGACTTCCTCCTTGTGGTTCTTCTTTGTGAAACAGCAGCTCCTCCTTAAAAGCCTCACTTTCCATCTCTAGCTGCAGTCAAGTGATATTGGTGTCACCTTGCAGACCTCCTCATTCTCCGTAGATCGTGCATGGCCAACTCCATCTCATACTTGACTATAAAACTGTCATCTGCAAGACAAGTATTGTCAGACTGTAGTGATGCAGGCCTATGTCTACAGAATTTGTAAAGATCCGAGCCCTCAGCTCTTCGACAATCTCTGCTGTGGGGCCCCCTCTCAGATGTTTGCAGATTTTGTCTTTGGTCTTTGGTTAGCAGTCTCCAGGCTCCTCATTCTGTCCACAAGAGAGGCCAGGTGGTTGCGCAGGTCTCACATGATCTCCTTCTCACTGTAAATGTCACCCATTCATGCCAGCGCCCACAGCCACCATGGAAGCTTGTGGAGTGGGATATGGAGATCCATGAGTCCCAGGCCCTGGTGCCTGCATAGACACCAGCCATGCTTCTGGCCAGCTGTATTGGATGGCCGGGCAATCTGACCAAGCCCAGGAGCCAACAGGGGGTGCAGCTAGTAGCAAAGCTCATGCTGTCCAGGACTCAGGTTCAGGCTACCAGCAGTTACTTTTGATATTGGGAATGGAACCAGGCTCACAAATGCTAGTTAAGTGCTCTACCACTGAGCGACATCCCCACCCAACCCTTTTTATTATTATTACCATTTAAAGTTGTTATATAATGTTATTATTATTGTTATTATTATTATTATTATTATTATTATTATTATTAGTCAGGGTCTTGCTGAATTGTTCATGCCAACACCAAATTTTCAATCCTCCTACCCCAGCCTCATTACAGTTGTGCACCATCACAACTGATAGTTACCATTGCAAAGTGTACACTAAAATGGTGGCACACACCTGTAATCCCAGCATTCTGGGAGGCTGATGCAAGAGGGTCTCAAAGTTGAACCCAACCTGGGCAAATTAGCAGTTTAGTTGATACAGCCTTATGGTAGAGCCAACTCAGTAACCGGTTACAAGCTGTACCGGTAAAGTCACTAGGTGGAGGGGATGATGGCTGAAGCCAACAGAATGGGGACTGAGCAGGTCTTGATTAGCTTCTGAACCCGTTTTCCCAAGTTTAAAATGGGATTAGCACCACCTAGTTGATAAACTTTGATGTTGATGGTTAAATTAGATGAGGAAGGAAAACGCAAGGCACAAACGGAGGTGAATTAGCTCGGTTAATGACAAGGCTGAGTTGGCTGCGACACAGGATTAAATAGCAGGCAGCCCAGGACCAGTGGGGCCGTGGCTGCGGTCCAGGACAGAACAAGGCAAGACCAGCAAAACTAGAATAGAGAAGGGTGCGAATATGAGGCGTTCAATCAGTCTCTGCACAAAAGGCGAGACTGGCAGGAATCAAAGCTCTGCCTTCTCCGCAGCCACTGGCAGACCTGATTGCTCCCCGCTTTAGTAGCACAGGCAAACGTTCCCCAGGGCTGGTTAGAGATCACCTGCCCATGAACTAACTGCGCTTTCCTTCTCAGTCAGCTAGGGCAGTACTAATCCTAGGCAACGCTGCCTACCGCCCCTAGCAACCACTCACTTGCTTTCCTCTTTCTATAGGCCACTAAATTTCCTTTCTTTCTTTAATTGGTCCGTGTAATTTTATCGCAACCAATCAGTGACAGCCACGGGATTCAATTTACTCCCACATAATTTAGGAGCTGGTGATGGGGGAGACAAATTTCTGTTTTCTGCCTCTGTTTCTCCCAGAGGACCCCTTATGTGTCACACTGTTGTGAATGTTCCTGGAAAGAAGCTCTAAGGCATTTTATATGCATTTGGCCTACTGTAAAAACCTGTCCTTTGCACACTACCCCCTCCGGGTGGCACGGCCCACAGAAGGTTCCACCTTCCAGCGGCTTTGGGAGCCGGAGTCGGGGTTGGGTAGAGTCCACGCAGGGGTACAGAACATACCATCGCTACTAATAAGTAGGGGATATCCAACCCTCGTCTGTCACCCTATTTCGTTTGCGAACTCCGTTTGCATCTCTTGCTCTGTCCTTCTCCGAGAACAAGAATCCAGAACCCGCAGGAAAATTACTGTTTGTGGCACAAGGTAGCGAGCGGTACGAGAGGCGGCAGGACTCGCTTGGTACGGTCCACGCCACGCCCCGCGCCGCCGGAAGTGAGGTGTCTCACCCTCGCACTTCCGGCTTGCAGGGGGTGGGAGTGTTGTTAGCCGGAGCGGCTGCCGCAGTCGCGGGGATTGAGCGGGCTCGCGGCGCTGGGTTCCTGGTGAGTCAGGCCAGGCCAGGATTGAGGTTGGGGTCCTCGCTGAGATCTTCCCCTTGTGGTCACCGGGATCGGCTTGACCCTTCGGTCCCGCCGCCTGCTTTCGGCTTGTCAGCTGGCGATAGACCTCAGGCGCCGGCCTGGCCACTCTCCCAGAAGCTGGGCCCCGCCTGCGACGCTCCCAACGCCTGGCGC